TTTGGAGCCTTTAGGGCCAACTTTTGGGGGTCTCAGGATATGGGCTTGGCCAATAGGTCACTGCAGAACAAATCTCAACCAGCCGCGGTAGCGAAGATTCATGGCAAAGCAACCGATCACCACTTATGGGTGCCTAAGGGGGAGTAGGGGAGGCGATCCTCAGAATAACCTTATTTATAGTCCCCATAGAATAGTCCCTATATATCCACTCCCCCACTCCCCCTTCAGCACCAGTACATCTTCTGCTGCAATCATCTTACTATGGAGCACCCAAAGATCCACCGTGAGATTGTTGATGGACTGAAGGAGGTATGATACCAAGCAAAACTATAACACCATAATTCCTGGGGTTCACGTATGCAGATTCGTGCAGGCTTCGCTTATCGACCACAACACTATTTGCAGATGGGGGCTTTCCAAAATTAAGGGTACCTTTTTGGGGTTACCCAAAATAGACGTCATAGTATGTTGGGTCTATATTGGGGGTCCCCCCAGTTATGGAAATTGCCAGATGATGTCAGGTGTACTCCGCATTGACATGCCGCTGCTGCAGCCCCACCAGGCCGCCACATGCAGACAAGACCATGTGCCTGTGGCAAGTTTATAGCAAAGTTTATGGGCCATACTGAAGGCTTCACAACCAAACGTCTTATTTCGAAGTGACATGGGAACGTGTGGGGTATAAGGATTGGGAAGGTTACAGGGGTTTGCTTTCATCCTTGGTTGGCATCTTCATAATACGGATTCCTCCAAATCGCTAGGTAGAATAGCGGGAATGTCTTCGCTGAAATGGTAGCTAAGATGATGAGGGTCGCTGCTGCCAAGAAGTTTAGGATTTACGGCTAGGGCTCCTTACAGTTTCCACTCGCGGTGCTAGGTCACTTTGTGGGGTGTTGCAAGGCACGCCTCCAAGAGTTCTGCTTCGCAACGCGTGGATGCACATGGAGTTCATGTAGCCTCCTCAGGACTTTTTGTCTTTCTAGTAAAGTATAACCCTCAGGAAACTTCAAAGACTACACCCCGATTATCCTGAAAGCAATCAGGTCGACATTGGTAAGGGACGCGTATCCGGCCGTTTTCTAGGTGCTGCAGTCCTGGTTTAGCGCTACGAACAAACTGGAGGCGGTATAGGATCTCTGGTGTACGTGCTGCGGTGTGTGTCGGCGGTGTAGGCGCTGTGGTGTACTGGTGCGGTGTAGTTGCGGTGGTGTATGTGCGCGGTGAAGGTGTCCTGGTGTATGTGAGCGGTGCAGGTGCTGTTGTGTGCCAGCGCTGCCACGCGCCCAAAACAGCGAGAGGGTCGTGACTACGCTCCACGTGCCAACCATCCCACCCGTGGAAAGTAGCGTCGATTCCAAAGCGAATTGAATTCTCAGGACGCTCCACGCGCCAGCGCTGCCAGAAGGTCGTCGGTTCCAAACAACATTCTCAAGATGCTCCACGCGCCAGCGCTGCCACCTGCCCAAAATAGCGAGAAGGTCGTCAATTCCAAACAAGTTCTCAGGACGCTCCACGCGCCAGCGCTGCCACCTGCCCAAAACAGCGAGAAGGTCGTTGATTCCAAGCAAAATTCTCAAGACGCTCCACGCGCCAGCGCTGCCACCTCCCCAAAACAGAAAGAAGGTCGTCGATTCCAAACAAAATTCTCAGGACGCTCCATGCGCCAGCGCTCCCACACGCCGAAAACAGTGAGACGGTTGGCCGGCCAACCCTGAAATTCGCACGTGCCGCCGCAAGAGCGCTTCGACACACACGATCCCCGCAGAGGTTCTCCGGCGACGTTGAAAATTTGCAAGGCGCTACAGCGAGAACATTTCGACCCGAGCTTGAAAATGCGCATGGCGCTACAGCGAGAGCGCTTCGACACGCACGATCGTGCATCCCGCCGGCCCTCGCCAAACCCACCCCAGGCTAAGAAAGAAGATAGCGCATAATAGAGACGGTGTAGGTCCGGTGTACGTGGTTTATGTGGGTGGTGTAGGTGCTGTGGTGTATACAGGCGGTGTAGGTGCTGTGGTGTACGTGAGCGGTGTAGGTGCTATGGTGTACGTGAGCGGTGTAGGTGCTGCGGTGTATGTGGTGCAGTGTAGGTGCTGTGGTGTATGTGAGCGGTGTAGGTGCTGTGGTGCAAGCAAGGCAACTGTTTTTTGAAGAGGAACCTTTCCCGGTGTTTTCCGGGAATAATTATCTTTCTGTTGCATGTCTAGGGAGATTACATGTTTGGATTGGTTTAAAAGCTCTTTGGGGCCTCGTCAGCACCACACGCACCCTGATTTGATCCGCTGGAACAGTACTTGTACTCACTTTCCATTTGCTATGAAGCGCCGTAAAGCGTAAACCCTGTAGACCTAAATCCTGAGCCCCAGATCCTCAACCCCAGACCAAGCCGCGATTCCTATTCCGGAAACCGCAAACCGTCAGCCTTAGATCCACTCGAATGCTTACCTGGGGCCCCAAAGAAAGAAAATCGTGTTCTAAACCTATTCAAACCTTGAAGAAGGCCATGTTTCTACATGCTTGTGGCCACAGTAACCCCACACCCTGAAACACCGAAAACCCCAAGCCGCAAACCCGAAGTGGACCCCAGACCCTAAGCCCCAAACATCCCATGAGCCCTAACCCTAAATCCCATAAACCCAACCTGCTTTGAATTTAATGTCCCAACCACGTTACTCGCTTCTTGGGCCCCAACTATGGGCCCTTCATGGGGCTTCTAGGAGTCTATAGGGTATATACTAGGGTATATAAGGGCATATAAGGACCCTAGGGCCCATAGTTCACGAATTAGATTAGTTTTCACTTTCTTTTCCACTCCCTACATGCCTTATATCAGCTTATATTCCCTTGTATACCCCTATATACCCCTATGCTTCCTTTTTCATACCAGGGGTCCATAGTTCCAATCTTCGAAACCCCTAAGCTTGCGCCATAAATCCTGAACCCCACACCCTAAACCCCCAAACCCTAAACCCAAAACCCTCCACATCTCATAAGCCCAACCTTCTTTGAAGTACGTTGCAGGCCAAGGACCCGAAGGCGCCGGCGCAGCCAGAGCTCGAGCCACTGAAGCCGGCCACGGAGCGGCTTTTTTTTCCGGTTGGTTGGTTTTGGGTTCAGGATTTAGGGTTCAGGGTTTAGGGTGGGGAAGTGGTAGGGTTTGGAGGTTAGGCTTTAGGATTCGGGAATTGCGGAGATTTAAGGTTTTGGGGTAGTATCAAGGCTTATTAGGAGTGACGCGTAGCGGGGGACCCTAATCCCATTACCTTATAGTATATCCTATTAACATAGTGGTTCATCACGTCAGCGACCGCCTTTATTATCCTAGGTCAGACAGAGATTGAATGATCCAGACATTATGAAGAAACGATAGCTCCCCCCCCAAGAAAAAAAAACGCGATACCCAAAAATTGGCGTCCTACAAGGATCCATCCAAAAGCAAAGATGTGGCGCATCCAGGCGAGGGGTCTGGCAAAACACTGTAAAACCCTTGCACAACAGCGATACCCTTTTGATATACCTTCGACAAAACCTACGTAGCCCCCATATCATCCCCAAAAAGCTACAAGGGTCCCCATTACGGGTCCATCCTAGTGGTAGTTGTAGTACAGGTGCTTATTCAGTACTTGCACCCTTCGGGTTGCAAGGTTTATGTCGAATTGCATAAGAGGCTAATCAGGGATTACGCAGCGGGTGCGCAAGGAGTCCAGAGCATGCAGTATACAGTAAATTTAATATACATAAGATAGATGAGATGCATAGTGCTTCGGGCAGTTATCAAGCTTTATGCCTTGGGGAACAGTTGAGGGCTTCGAGTTTGTGGTTTGTGCTGGGCGCCCATATGAGAGCAATCCTTTGCAAGCTAGCCCATAGAATGGTCCCCCAAAAGTTTTAGCCCTATACCCTACAGCTGCAATCCTGACCCCCAACTTAAGGGTTCTTAGTACGGAAGAAGGCAATATAATCCCTAGATAGACCCTATACAATATACTCCCTTGTTCCCGACTCACCCCAGTGAGCCAAACTTGGCCCAAAACCCTGAAGATGCAGCCTCCCCCCAGGAGCCGACGCCAGCTAGGGGCGGACGCGGGGGCTACCTTGCAGGCCACCTTTTTTAAGGGATACAGAGGGGTCATCAAGAATTGCATGGGGGACAGGTCATTGTGGTGTCAGCTTGGGGCTCAGGGAGTTCAATTTCAGGGCTCATGGTTTGGAAGACTTAAGCGTTAGAAGGACTCAATGAGACTTTCTGGTCTAAGGTTTAGGCAGGTTTAGGCTCGGAATACTGGAGGCTCATGGGTGGTCATTAGGGTATGTGAGTTAACTGCTTGGAAGCCACGGAGCCCAACACCACCTAAGCTACTGTCAATATTAGCCTTATTAACGGACCCAGCCCCCAGTCATTATGTGGGGACATATTGACTGTAGCTCACTTGGCATTTTAAGAAGATGCCCGAAAAAGGTCGCGGAAGTTATGAGTTCCCAGCGGGCTCAAGGATTTCCAGGCATCACAGGTGGCTTACCACAAGTGGAACAAGGATCCCTAGGAACTAGGCCCAGCATGATCTGAGGAAGACTCCTTATCATGGGATATTGTTGAGTGTTCTCTTTGCCAAGGAATCTGATTTGGAGGTCTTACATGTTGCACATAGGGGATTGCGTAGGATTGAGGGTTAAGGACAGCTCAGGGTTCAGGATAGTTTGCTGTTTAGGGTCGAGAGTTTAGGATGGTGTAGACCCTTGATTACTGAACCCCGCCCACTTCGTAGGGATAATAATGGGCATCCTGATATTTAGGCCTCAAGGTAAGGTGGTTTAGTAATCACGGGTCTACATGGCCTCCGAGATTAAAAAAATCTGGTCTTTGGAGAAAATTCTGCCTGGGCCATTACTTCAAAGCTCAGAGTTCTTACAACCCGATTAGAAGGGTACTTATGACACAATTATAATCATGTTAGGGAACTTTGGTGGCCTGAGGTTGTAAGTACCAGGTATAAGTGGGTTTCACCCCGCCAAACCAACGACGCCGACACTTCTTGGCTCTTGGACCCCTCAGCTTTTTGGGTTTCTTTGGGTTGCGTCTATAATCATGGGCCTATTCTGGCCACAGTATGTGAGCCCACACAATTTGAGGAGACATTAGAAACTATGGGGAATTATGGGGCTTTCTTGTTCAGGCTGAATAGGCCTCTTTAGTTTGGAGGGTTGCATGTTTGGGATAACCCTACTTGGAGGGCCTGGGGGATCTAGTAGGTGAGTGAATAATGGGGATAGCTGGGGTTATTATGTGGCTCGTGCGAATTATATGTATACTCACTAAGCTAGCCTGATCCCTCAAGTATGATATGAACGCTGGGATTTTAACTCCTGGTAGGGGAGCTCGGGTGCCAAAGCCTCTTTAATTAGTAATATTCCTGCTTCCGCTATAGCACGCGGTATCTGTGGAGACTTCTAGTTCTTCAGGCCCCATTGGCTGCCTTCCAGCCCAACGCGTGGCTTGAAGCAGACGCTCTCGAAACGTTCTCCAGGGACGATGTCATTCCATGGAAAAACAATGTGTCTGGTCAAGCAAATGACTCTTTCTGCTTGACAACTTATCTGCTCAGAAGAGCGAAGATTGTGAGAGAATGTTGCAAACTGCAAACGTGGAAGCCCTGTTTGGCCCCTCGGGCCTCACGCATGTCTGGCAGTCAATTGACGCTGGCTCTGCGTACGCTTTAAGGCTTCGACGATGCGAGGCACATCGCTGGCCAAACTTATCATGTTAGATAACGGAGACACCGGCAGACCTCAATCCCTGACATGAACCCTAGACCCTAAACTCTGAAGCCTTGAGCCCTAAACCTTGATCCGGAAACCTGAACGCCAAGCTAAGCCCTATGACCCAGCCCAGTGTGTGTCCCCATCTCCCTCCAAAAGGAGCCTACAAACCCAGTGATTGCTTCAAGGCGACTCGGAGTCTCAAAAGTCAAAGACCGTCTCTATTCAAGGCAAGATGATCCCTAAAGGGTCAACGTACCAAATAATTAGGTACTTGTGATCTTGGGAATAGTAATTGTTCTACAGGGATCCTGTAATTATCTTAGGGGACTTTGGTGGCCTTTGATTGGGTTTGCGGTAATTGTGGCTCGGGTTCCTAGCTGGCGCGTCGCACACCATCTCAAACGTTTTTTACCGCGGGGTGTGTACGTATGTGGTTTCATGCTACTTTGGGGGAAGGTATTTTATAAAGCCCCGTACTACACCCCCCCTTGTCATGATTCACCGCGAAAAGCCTACAACCAAAGGCTTAACCAGGGTTTGTGTTGGCCTTGATTTTAGGCATGGATCGGGTAGTGGGGCGGGGGTGTAGCACAGGGCCTCACAGTTAATGCCTTGTAAAAGAGACTGATGGCTATGCTGACTGTAATGCGCAAGTCCTTCTTACACTAAGATCCACAAGGCCATGGCACTTCTGAAAATGTTGGGCGCATCTTGTTTTTTGTGGACCGTTACATGTCGCGGGACGTTTTTGGGTCATGTACATGGAGGGATGTGCATACGATTTCACTCCCGAGGCTTGGGTTTAGAGTTCAGGGTTTGAAGTCAAATGAGCGTTTGCCTAGAAGCGTCCGGGCTGCATATCTTTGCGATTGTGCCCAAAAAAGCGGGGGCGGGGGGGGTGAGGTCCTGGGTTGCCTTTGCAGTCGGACCCACTCATCTTTTTTCTGCCGTAGTTCTCAGTGCGCATCACGTGCCATCATGTGTTCATGCGTAGTTGAGGTTGAGCAGGGTCGCACGGTAACCGCAGCACTGGATTAACCATGGATTGATAGCACCTGGAATTACGAGGAATAGCAGGAATGAAGAAGTTGAATGAGGTTGATGATAGCTTGAGTTATGTTGATTTCTAAAACTTTTTGCCAGCGATGGACGTATTTTGTCCTTACAGCTACAGAGGTGATGCATTGGTGGAATGTATGGGGATTTCCGGAAATTGCAAGCTTTCTTACGCGTCCCGGCAAAAAGGCTCATCGCATATTAGAGTCCATAATTGAGCTCTCCCCCCATGTTGGCAAGCCGCTATACTAGGACCCAATGCCATTACCAGCGGTTCATGCCCCTCACCATTATGATGAGGGGTATAATGGCCATATAGGGACTACAAGGGCATTCCCCAATTCGCAGCTAAGCATGACTCCCTTGACTTGCCTCTCACCAGTAGAATTGAGACATTGGATCCTAGGTGGGAGTCATGATATGATGAGACAACTTTGTGTTGCGTTTGAAGCCACCAACCCCTAGCCAATACGAATTGGAGGCAAACCAAGAACCCAACTTGAACCCTCCAGCCAGAAAGTGAACTGGCTTTCAAAATTTGAAGGTTCCCTTTGCTTCGTTCTTCTCAGAACTAAACGAGCCAGCTACTCTCCGGTAGTCCCTTAGAACTATGACTGGATGATACTAGTGTTTTGTAATTGCCCTACCTAGGTCGTAGACGGGAGATGCCCAAACGCATGTGAAGGTTCCCAAAGTTTGCAAGCTCCTGTGAATTAGTGATCCAAAGCTTTTATCCCTTTAGAAGAGTTGACCCACAACCCTCAATCGTGTTTAGGGGCTGGCCTCCCCGGTGAAGGATGCCTTTCGGGATCCCATAATGTGTGGCGCCTGGCAACGGAGAGGTTTGTAATGCTAGGGTCTGCATGGGTCTTTGCTAAAGTTATCACCAGATGGTTCTTAGAAGGGACCCTATATTTTGGTTTAGGGTTTAGGCTTAGGGTCCCAAAAGGCTCCCCCGAACCCTAGCATTCCTGATGCGATATACTTTTGTATACTTCGACATACCCTGTACATCCCAGCATAACCCCAGCAACACTCCCTTATGTGGACATGGCAGGCATCTATCAAGATCCTCGCAGAGTGGCTCCAAAGAAGCAGCAAGCAGGGGCCTTGGATTGAGGGTGTAGGGTTTACCGTCAGGTAGCAGTGTGAGGAGGATATAGGGATATCATATCATTGTGGATCATGGTGTTGGAGAAAGTAGCAAATGGTTAATCAGGATTCATGGATTAGGTATGAGCTTATAGAGGGGCTTGATGAAGATGTCGGGTTGGTGCAGAGTGGGCCGCCCGTTGATGAAAAACCTGCCTGGGAAAAAAATTCCTTGTAACCAAATTATATATATATATGTATATATGCCAGCTAAGTCCTCGTTACAATTGGGTTAAGTGCAAGTTCTAGTCGGATTATACTTGGCCTTGAACCTCCAAGTGGTAGCTTCCCAAAATCAGGGGACCCCAATGTAAACCCCACAATGCTGTAATCCCTTTATAGGGATCCTCTGGACAGGTACCCCCATTTTGGAAAACCCTACACCCTAGAAATCTCCATATAACCTTATATACCCCTATACAACCCCTATAGTCCCCTTTAAAGGGTACCCTATTTTGGCGAACAGCCAAGTACGGCTTTGGCATGCAAAACGCTTGCCAACGTCAGGCTTTTCGGGCCTATGAAGTAATTATTTGGGGGTTCTCAAGTTAGGGTTTAGGGGTGTAGGATTTATGGTTCAGGGTCCAAGGGATACGTAGGGGCTTACGGAGGTCCCTATCCGGGATTATCTGGAGACAATTTTGAGACAGTCCGATTTTCTGAAGCCATGCAGCAGGGGTGGCTGCAAGCTTACGTTACTAGGTTGATGTAAGCTGGAGCAACTACAGCTCACACATGCGCATCTAGATGTCTTGAAGCATATAGATTAGACCTCCAGCCCATATCCCCACAAATAGTTCACTTGGAGAGGAATGCGCCAAGACAGACTGTGGATTTTCTTGAAGCAATCCCTTCCCCAAGGCCAGCGCATAAAACCCACACCGTACCCCTACATCGGGAATCCCGAAAATCTGCATTCTATATTAACCCTAAACCTAAACTGGTTCAGGGCTTCATTGAGCCTTGCAGCTTTGTGGGTTTCCATGTTAGCTTCCCCTGATGTCAAAAACCGCAGCGAACGACCAAGGATTCCCTCATGAGAGAGGTAAAGACCACGCGCGCGCCGCACGTGGCCTCCACCACAGAGGAGCCAGTTTAGGGGCCCTTGTGGGTTTGGTCAGGGTACCATGTTCATAGAGTGAGTGATGCTAGTCATCCTTCAGGCTCCTCTAGTAACGTAGAAGCTTTAGCTGTTATAGACTACTATCGTCACGTCATTCTATCCTTACAGAAGCGTGCAAAAAACGTGCTGCAAAACTCTATTCGAATTCGCTCTAGCATCCTAAACCCTAGGACCTAAACCCCAAAGCATGTTGCCCCTACAGCTGGGTTGCTGTTAAGGAATTTACATTAAGTTACCATAATATGGGTATATAGAGTAAATAATAGGGTTTCCTTGCTAATTATGGTAACTCAACTTAAGTTCCTTAACAGCAACCCAGACAGAAGCTGCAGAATGGAGGGTTGAAAGGAAGCCTGGTCTTTCCTGGGAATGTACGTGGGGAATGCTATAAAGCTATTCGATAAATTCTTCTGCTCTAGGATACAAAGGTTCCTGTGCTAAAATGTCACTGTTGTAGGGCCGAGTTCCTGAAAGGGGTGCAGGCCCAGGGGGCGATTAGTTCAACACACTAATCACTTTGGAGGCCTCGTCACGTATTCTAGGATTCTTAACTTCGCTAAGTAGCCATCCCCGCTAGAAGAATGTATATTAGTATCAATGACACTTGCAGATGCTCTCATGGATACCCTCACGCAAGGCCGAATATGCATTGATCAGAGAATATACCATGAGCTATAGCAGGATCCCTAACATGACATTGGGAGTATACCTTAGTTGAGAGGCGTTGGGCCCTCAGGATCTTGAGCCTGTGCAGGACGACGACGACGATGATGTCCCTCCTCTGGAAGTGCGTGGATAGGTCATCGCCAAGGGGCCATGAGGTGTCATAGGATGATGCTCAAGGGGGGCCCGATACCTTGATTTTACGTAAGTTCATTCCAAGATTGAGTTTTGCCCTGAGAGGGACATCCTCAACTTGAAGCATTAGGCTTAAACCAAGACTTCACTCCTCCACATGACGGGCTAAATACATAAGAGGTCTTTTTTCGGGGGTGCCTATAATGGAGGTATCTATTTCTGGTCCATGTTCTGGAAACCCTCACATGACACCTCTGGATCCCCATGGCTATCTTTTCTGCAAGTGTTTCCTGCGCGAAGATGTCTTTTCAACGAAAGAAGCGATGACAAATATTCCGAACATTTGGCCAGCAGTTCACTCAATAGTACTCAATAGCTAGCACATAGCTTTTAGCCTTTTGGAGTCTATGATGCGAACGTGCTAGACTAACAAAGAGCTCTTTTTTTGGATGGGGGGGAAGGAACTCAGCACCGAGGTCCAAGAGGCAGTCCTGGGTCATAGAAGGCTGCATCATGTGCAGCGGATGTCTTGCTTTTGTTTTGTTGAATCTTGCTCATATCCTCATTTGGGGTATGGTAATCTATAAGAAGCATAATCTGACTAGGTTCAACCAGGAAAATGCCACTCAATTGGATTTGGGATGCCTTCGGATCTGGGAAAAGCCTTTCAGAAATGGGGAGGTGGTTCCAAAACTTGGGCCCTTTTGGGGAGTCCCCATAAAAGGTTCATAGTGTTTGAGTATACAGAAGGAGAACCCCTATCTTATCTTGCGAATTGAGAAACTCGCAAATACAATTTCAGTGGCTTTTATCACTACGGCGCACCCTCTTTTCGGAGGCCCCCCGATCCCAGCATGGACCCAAATCGAGGTGCTATCGGACAGCAATTCTCTACGGGGTGCTTATCTGAACACTGCTCCTGTATGCTGGAGGCTTGTGGTAAAGATGGGAGCAAGTTTTTCCGAGGCGATTTCGTGACAACTACGAAAACCTGAAGTCTTAAACCGTCTTCCTTTCCGAGCTTGCAGCACCAACACGTTGCGGAGTCTTCGAGGTGACTCGGGTTGTTAACGTGAGTAATCGGGAATATCTTTACCAAATATTAGGAGTAAGGGGGAAAATTGGCTGTTCTAATCTGTATACGGTATTTGGAATCGTAGGGCTGAGTGCTTGTGCTCCACGACGGATGACTGCGATTCCGTGCCTAAACTTCTATGTAGGCAGCACTTGCGCTGCATGTGCATAATTGTTTGTCGCTGGACATGTGGGCGGTTCTCAACTCGAGATACTTTGTTGCTATAGGCAAGGGGCCTAAACCCTTAAACCAAAGCCCTATGGCCCTATGGCATGTGGACTCATGCACTAAACCTGATAGCTTAATTGCGTGCCTTGGGCCTCTGAAAAAGTTGACTGCAGTAGAACAAATATTCGAAAACATGCACAGACACTCTCAAAGGTACAGGTGTGGCCATGATTGTGATAGAGAACCCCGGAGCTCCATCTCACCCAGCTGCAAAATGCAGCTAGCACGACATGCATGGCCACCATGGTAAAAGCGTCCGCTTTCGAATCCTATCCCGCGACTGATGACACCCTCCACTGCTTTCATAAGAGATGCTCCTAAAATCTAAGGGCCTAAACCCTAAACCGTGAACGGCGATGCTTAGTAGTTTCCCTAAATAATGGGCCCCAATATAAACCTTGAAATACAGTAACCCAGAAATGGTACCCCGAATTTGGGAAACCTCTATAGTTCTTGATAAAACCCTATATAACCTCCATAATCCCCTTTTCAGGGTGCCCCTAAATTTTGGACACTCCTACTTATTCTTTAGGATGTGGGCAGTTTTATTCTTGTTGGGCAGAGGAGGATTGGCAAGCAGCCTGTAACAAGGAAATTATGGTAACCCAACCTCCGAAATGAGGACCCTATGAATATCATATGACTCCTGTGGAGTCCTGATGGCTCTTTTACTAGAATTTTATTCTTATTCTTTCCGGGGGCCGGCGGTAGTATTTCAGGTCATGAGTTTGCAGCGTCTTTTTGCCAGAAGATCTACCTTGTGGCGTGTACTCATGGGGGGGAGGGTTCTCAAAATTGCGGGCCGCTGGTAAGAAGCTTGAATTGAATTACCATTGCACGGGAATCGTATTACCTACTCTTGTTTGTCATATGCTCATACCATGGTCACTTAGTTCAATTTCCTGAACTGCCACACAGATTAGGGGTCCTGGGGTTCTTTTTACCTTTTTTACCTGGACCCCCAAAGTAGGTGGAAAGCTTGTCTTTTTGACTATGTTCTGGGATTCGGAGTAATCATTCTACCTACTTTTCAGGTCCAGGTGCTATATTGGTATTTCTCAAGATCATTTTTACCGAATCCCTTATACCACTCTCCCTATGGCCCATATTTATCTATCTATATATATATATATATATTCTCGTCGGGGTCCCGAACAGATGACCTCGATTCCACAAGGTTCTTCAAAAGAACATGTGAGCTATAGTCTAGACTCCTTAAAGGGAGGGTATATAGGGGATTCTAATAGGGGAGCATTGTGGGGACCATTAAGGCGGGATACTAGGAGTTTAGACTATAGCTCATGTTGAGATTTGGCGTTAAGGGGTTTAGGGTGTGGGGTTCGGGCGGTTAGAGTCCATAGAGCTTCAGGGTGTATAGGGTGTACAGTGCGGGAGATGCAGAGAGTTCAGGATTTGTGTTTGATTTATGTAGGGGCATAGACAGTCAAGACACGATTTTAAGGAATATTTGTCCGTACTCGTATAAGAAGCATACGGGGAATAACAGTGCTAATTCTTCAGGATTCTACATTGGCAGCACCCTACAAAAGACAAGATAGTCCAAGTGTGAATTGCCTTTTCATTTTGGATTTCTATTTGACTCTGCATCAGTGGCAGTTATTTTCTCCCTACACCCTATACCCTAAACATCCCTAAGCCCCAAACTCAAAGTTTGCGGAGCTGGACTTGGCACTCCGAAGCACTTCCAAGATGTCAGAGTTACTTCGACGAATCCCTGTAAGCCCCATTGTCTGTGAGTAGCTGCGTAGGTAACCCTGGACTTGCTGGGTCTTAGTAGGGAATAAAGGAGTATAGTATATAGGGATTATATACGGACCATATTCCTTAATTCCCTACTAAGAACCAGTGAGTCAACGTTTTGGGGTGTATATGACCCTACGAGCGAGGACAGGTTAATTTTTGGGGCCAGGAACTGAGCAACTGGGCTCCACAAATTCCTAATCTCCGATTCGGGTCTTCTTGGGGACGGGTTGAGTATTTTCGAGGTATTGAACAGGACCCCAGTATTGGGAAATGCCTTGGGGGCTGAGGAAACTCCTTTGTCTTCAGGGACATCTTAAAACTATCGTCTTTTTTTGTCGGGGCGCGTGTTGTCAGGGCCCTAAACCCTAAGCCTTTGAGGGTGCAGGGTCTCGGGTTCAGTGCTTGGGTTTGGGGGCTCATGCTGGCTTTTGCGTTTGGGAGCCCAGCTCTTAAAAGGTTTTAGGGTTCTGACAACTGGCCCTTGACACGAACTTGTTGTTGGTAAGTACCAAACCAAGGAATAGGGTGTTTAGGGACTACTAGTAAGTAGAGGGATCCATTCCTCCATCCTCACTAAGGCTAAGGGGGGTCATCACCCCATCGCGACTTAGCTACTTTCAGGCCGTGAACCGCAAGTGCGAAAATCCATCAGAAAGCTTTTGCAGACTAACAGCTGAATACGAATAAGCAGCTAACCTAAGACGAAAAATCCCCAGGCCAGGCTCTTGCCAGATTCTCCAAGTGGGCAGTTTCCCCTGCAAGCTCTCCAGTGTCTGCAGCCATCCCAACTCTGCCCGAAACCCCCGTGCACACCTAGTAAGGATGCAGCTGAAACTCTAAACTAGAGCCTCAAAATCCTCGACTCCAACAGCTTGAAAAGTTCTCTAGGTGGCTGCAGTTAAACCTGCTTTCGCAGCCTCAAAGTACAAGTCAAGCAAACAGCCTGTGCCAAGCGAGAGCAAAATCTTCTAGAAGCCTAAATGATTGCCAGTGTTGAAAATGCCCTTTTAAATTCTCGTATAACATGCAAAAAAATGGCTCTCATCATGTAAGCCCCTATATCACAATCCCTATACAACCCCTACCCCAACACACCTCAGGTTGCGGCTCATAGCACGGAGAGATACAGAGGCCCGGGCGAGGGCGCGTGGATGTCAGGGGAAGCCACGCGAAGTCATGGTCCGGACCTCGGGTGATGTAATTGACCTTTAGGGTTCAGGATGGGGTTTAAGGCTTGGAGAATGGGAGTGTAGGGAATTCGGTATTGGGGATTAGGGCTTAGGATTCAGGGTGAGGTTGAGGGTAATTGTAAACCAGTGAGAACTGGTACTCGTATGCCAGTTGTACCCACATTACAGAACTTATGGGGCTTATACTTGGGTTATAAGTACAATGCAGGCCAAGTTAGGTTCTAATGACCCTGAACCTCCAAGGGCGGTTTCCAAAACTGACGACCCCTTTTCGGAGGTCTCCATTTCATGGGCGTATACAGATTGAGGTTCCCTGATTCCGGAAACTAAATTACCAATCACCAACAATGGAGAGGGTAGTGCATTTTCAGACTGGCCCATAAGCCATAAAAGAGCCTGAAGGCCTGAGCTTGTCGACGACTCGGGGATCCCTAAAGCCTAAACCCTAATCATGCCAGGCTGTCTTTTTTGACGACTTTTCTTTACATCATGGGGATGGAACCAAAAAAACAAACCCTGGACCATTTAGGGTTTATGGTAACTTCCATTTTCTTATCCGTTCCCTTATATGTTCCTATATCATCCCTGGTATATCCCATGTACAGGAATATTCATAAACCCCAAATCATAAACTGTGTGGGTGCTCAGTAGGCTTGGGGTCTTTACGCCAGGGGGCTAGAGGTTTCAAAAAACGTTAAACCATAAGCCAAACATTAGCGACCACTGCTTTGAGGATCCCTCTCA